TACAAAACCAAAATTTTCATACGAAAAATAAAAAATTTAAAAGTTCATTTTTAACAAAAAATTAATTAATAAACCCAATATAAAGAAGGTTTCTTTTGTTTTACCCCATCTTCTTCACTATGTGAAAGAGTTATGATGCGTAAAGGTGCTGCAAAACAACAAAAATTAGTGATCCCAAGTTCATTCTATACGTCGCTCCAAAAGCCCCAAAGGAAGCTGTTATTTCTACATCAGCTCCTTCGTCTTCTTCAACCTCAACTTCTGTTCCCACCAACTTTGATTTAGAAATTGTTCAAAAAGTTTTTGGTTCGCTACCAGAAAAAATAATGGATTTTGAATTTTTTGACATATCTAAAATTGCCACTCCCAATAAAATTTCACCAGTTATTTACCCTTCGAACAACAACAATAAAAATAACAACAAAGTTGATGATATCCCTGAACACTCTTTTTCAGCCAAAGATAGGTCAAAACTTTTGGACCCTGATGAATATCTCGAAGATGATAATATGGAAGAAGACTAAAAGATTTTACAGTTGTTACCAAAGCTACTCCCTTTGCAGTTGCTACTCATATTAAGTTTACACCCAAAGAAAAGAACAACAGCAAAATTATTCTCGCTATCAATAATGTTTTTGCTCAAAATGACGATTTTCGTGAAGTTTCCGTTCGTCGCGTCAATTTAACACGTTCTGTAATTGTCTATTTTGTGATATCAGACGCGGCTACCGCAGCCTTACACGTAACTATTCCTGATCTTAAGATCGATACTTTCTGTGATTTCTCCCAATACAAGGCTGATATGCAATTCAATGAGAGGACTATTTACGTTACTGATATTCCACTACAAATGAAGCCTGCAAATATCAAACAAGTTTTTGCCAAATATGAATCTATTACCGATTTTAAAATGACAGTAAGAGGTATGTGGCAACATGCCTACATTACTTACGAAAACCCCAAATGCATTGAGCTTTTTCATCAAGTATGGAATCATTTCGTTTAAAATGATTCCGTTTGTATCAATCCTTGCACTTTGTCTCCAGAAGAAATTAAATATAGGAATACTTATCGTATCAAACTAATAAATCTTCCTTTTGGTACCTCTGCAAGAGATCTTCATAATATAATTCTTGCTACTAAAGCTAGAGCTAGTTATATTCCTAGATCTAACAACTATAAGCCTTGTCTCTTTGTTATTTTACACTTCAAAAATGAGGAAGCTCTCAATCATGCAATTCAACAAAACTTTGCTTTTGGTAATAATCAACTGATGTGGTGTTCTGCTAATGCTAGAAGCTGTCACAAATGTGGTAATCCAGCTCATCTTGTTATCAAATGCTCTTTTTACAAAAATCAGTTACACTAAATGACAATAAAGAACCTATTAAACTGAAAACACCATCTTAAAACAATTCAATGCAAAGACTCTACAACAAATATAAACCTGCTGGCTTTAGAAAATTTGTGGATTCTAATAGATCCAACTGATCTTCCAAATCTTATTCTGAGGCTATCAAAAATAAGAATATTCTCCACCTCCACTACCAAAGGAAGTTATCAAACTAACTGTAAAGGATTCTGTTCACAATCTGAATAATAAAATCAATAATAAATTAGATCAGATTCTCTTAATTCTCTCCAATATGAAAAAGAATACGAATGATCTTGACGTTAGAATCACCAAATTTGAATTTCTTCAGGCTTCTTCTTCAATTACGTCTCCAGAACCTTCTTTAACTGTTGTTAATAAAGAAAAAGATCCATTAATAGTTTCCCATGTTTCTCAACTATCTCTAAAATCACAAGATACGTCTAATAAAAGATCTCGCATTGCTGGATCTTCAAGTGATGACTCTTCACCCTCATCAATTTTGACCTCAAAACCTGACCTTACTAATATGGTGAATGAACAAGCTGCTATTATTGCTGAATAGAAAAGACAGATGGACAGAATGTTCAAACAAATCGAACGATTCACAATGGATGCTGGCCAGTTTCAAAATTAGATATACCCATTTTTTACATTTTTTAAATGATTAATGCAACAAATAATACTTTGTTACCTGAAATGTCCCCCACAAATTTAATTAACAATAATAATCAATTTCTTCCTACCTATAATAA